ATGCTTTCAAAACATCCTAAACCCTGAGCCCTGAACCTAATGTGCAGCATGCTACAATACCCAAAAACCCTAAACCCTAAACCCTAAACCCTAAACCCTAAACCCTAAACCCTAAACCCTAACCCCTGATATCCTTCAAAGACCACAATACAATTGTACGATTTGCGATTATGCTCAGAGCCAAGGGTTCAAGCTTCGAGTTGAGGGTCTATCGCTGTCCCCCTAACTAAGACTACCGCTTGAAATAAGCACTGATGCCGGTTTATCTCTAAACCGTAAACCCTAAACCCTAAATTTGAGATATTTGCAACCCTACAACGTTTGCCAGCTCCTGGCCCAGTACCGTTTGTGTCGCGGGTGCAGTCATGTGAAGTCGTGCGCAGTCCAGTCAGCTTCGGCTTTTTGGGGTTTGGGGTTTAGGGTTTAGGGTTTTCGGGTTTGGGGTTTAGGGTTTAGGGTTTGGGGGGGCAAGATTTGCCCAGCACACCATATCCAGAAGCTCGCCCTATCCGGCGTCACATACACACTCAAGCCTCCTCGTCCTGGTGGCGCTTCCTGTCTTGTCGCCTTTGGGATGGTTCAGGGAGAGGTTGAACTTTGGGATTTCGGAAAACAACCTTGGGCAAAGACCAACACCCTAAACTCGAACCTAATTCCTCAACCCGCAGCGCGAAAGCAACGAACAGAGAAGCAAGCATGTGGTGGCCTGTCATAGCTATCATTCTTCTGATTTGAAACAAAAACCGAGCCTGATCTCAAACCGCACGTAATTCTCCAACACCCCTCCCGAACCTCCCCCCCCCCCCCCCCCCAGATGCTGGCTTTTGCAGGCCGGACGGCCTGCTAGAGAAAGGTGAAGGACAGCTGGCAACCTGCAACATAGAACGGTTGACTTTGCCGCGTGTGCGTCAGACTACCAGGGTGCGTTTGGCACAAACATAACAGTAAAGTCGTGTAGACTCGCATATATTGGTGACAGCCAGCTGCCACTCCTTAAGAACGTCTGAATTGCGTCAGAGGGACACTCTCGGCAGAGAATACGTTGCTCTCCTTGCGCGGTCATGCACAGACCCCCCCCACACTTTGACCCGAAATTCATTTCCGCAAGTTTAGGGCGTGTTCCTTGCTGGTAGACGGTTTCGTGCATTATGGCACATTATTTTCTTTCTTTATACCTGTCATTTGTCAGCGTTTGAGAAGCCGTGAAAAGATGATTGCATTGGTTGCCTAGGCCCTGATTGTCAAGACATTTCTGCGGCGCACCCAGTAGCGTATTGCAGCATGGCAGTGGTTGTCGTGCAGACGAATTCAGCGGCAGAAATCAGGGCTTTGGGAACTCAAGGGCTTAAACTGCTCCAGCATTGGGCTACTCAGCCGAGTGCAGCTTGAAAATACAAAACATGTGAAGAGGGTCCTTCTTAGTAAACAGGAGCTACGCGTAGGAGTGCGAATCGGCTCTCCGTGTTCGGCCCGTACTGGCTGTTTTTCCAAAAGCAGGGGGGTGTGGCGGTTCTTCGGCTACGGTGTTGGGGTCCCGGGATCAGAATCCTACTTTGCTCAATCCTGGATGGGCCTTCTACTATCCACAAGGGGGTTTAGAGTTTAGGGTTTGGGGTTTAGGGGTTTAGGGGTTTAGGGGTTTAGGGGTTTTAGGGGTTAGGGGTTTAGGGGTTTAGGGGTTTAGGGTTTAGGGGTTTAGGGGTTTAGGGGTTTAGGGGTTTAGGGGTTTAGGGGTTTAGGGGTTTAGGGGTTTAGGGGTTTAGGGGTTTAGGGGTTTAGGGGTTTAGGGGTTTAGGGGTTTAGGGGTTTAGGGGTTTAGGGGTTTAGGGGTTTAGGGGTTTAGGGTTTAGGGTTTCGGGGTTCACAGTCGGGGGGACGGGATTACAAACGCTACCGAAGGGGCCCTGCATCTCCGCACATTTCCAATGTTGTCACTGACTCGACTCTCCGCACACTCCAATGGCCCTAAACATCACCCAGAGGGTCCATTTGTAGCACTATTATGGCATTAAGTACCAAAAACCATACGAAATAGGGTTTTGGGGTACCTAAATCCATAATGGTACTACAAATGGACCCTGTGGGTCATCTATGCCAAGAAACGACCTAGGAATAAAAAGGGTAGCCTTTTTGGTGTTAAGGGGAGTATAAGGGAACCCCAACCTTAAAAAAAGGAAACAAGGGCCTACTCCCCAGTCCTAGACGATCTTCGTCGCAATGCTCCGAGCTGACCTCCTGTAGAATCTTGGGTTTAAGGTCCAGTGGATTTAGGGTTTAGGGTTTAGGGTTGGGGGGTTCTGCGCAGGTACCCCGAAACCCTAAACCCTAAACCCGAAATCCTAAACCCTAAACCCTAACCCCCCAGAACGCAAACAAGAATCCGCCGAGGCCTCCCACCAAAAGCATCAACACCCATAGGACAGAATCTCAACCCGCGCCAAATCCTGCAAACACTCCAGCAACAGTTAGTGAATAGTGTCTGCGAAACTGTGCTCGAAGAGTCTGCTGACTTCATATTTATGCTCATGCTCGTTTTTCACAAACGTGTTTATTTTAACATTTTGGTGGGCTGCTCTTATGTGCGCCTGTTTTGCCCTTGCTGGTGCTCGATTATGGATTCGGTGAATTTGGGGGTGATATTCGGGTTTTTTGGGGCGTGTGTTGAACTTCTGCCCGCTCAGACAAAGGCCCCCGCGCACTACCAGGTTCTTGAAGATGTGTGTTGAGCACTTATCGGGGAGGGGTACAGCGGTTCATCGGGACCCATTCCAGGCAACAAAGTCCCAAATAAAAGGGCGCAAGTTAGAGGGGTGTTGGGAGGGGATTAGAGGTGGAGTGCCTGCTTTGTGCTACTCATACACCTACCGCCCTCAGCACTCTTGACACCCGACGACCAGCCCAGCCTGGTGTTCGTCCTCCAGACTCTCGCGGCCACGGGGATCGTCTTCCTGCGCATGAAACGGTGGGATGCGGGGGCCTATGGCAGACACAGTTTATCACTAACCAACGAAGCCATTCTCTTCCAGTATCTTCCAGTCACCCAGTCGTATCACAAAGCTCTTTTTGTAAAAGCACTGCGCCAGCCTGTCGCCACAGCTGCGCCAAGGCTGACACCTCTTCATTGCGATTGCGTGAGATGGCGTTTTGATACGTTTTGTATCGCATGTTTCTCCACTAGCCCTAGCATACTCAACTCCGAAAGTCAACCCAGCATTCGACCCTATGAACGGAAGCAAGAGTCCTAGGCGAGGCGTTGTCAACACAGAACCATCCAAGCCTTCGCCCGGGTGCCGCTGCAGCTCGCGCGGCGTCCGCGGGCTCGGAAGGCATCTGCCTGTCGGCCAACAACTGAGCAATATAGCATCTCGCATACAAGCTTTTCACTTTTCATGATACCTCTTGGTTTATATAACCCCACGATTGCAACAAGTATCAGCCATGAATGGTGTTTTTTCATTTACTATTTTCAGGAAAGAGGAACAAACTGTCTGCCGCGGTCTTCCGGGCTCTGGTCTCTCAAGGGAAACCAACCCGGGAGACCACGATTCAGCAGTTTCAGCTCCCAAAACATCCCGAAACGTCGAAACGGCGGTTTTCGCGCTCTTTGGCGAGAGACCACGACTCAGCAGCTTCAACTCCCGAAACCTCTGAACTGCGGTCTTCGGGCTCTTTGGCTTCTGCGTTTTAAAAAAAGGGGAAAGCCAGTCAGCACCTTCAGCTCCCGAAACCTCTAGCGGTCTCCCGGGCCCCGGGCTCTCCCTTATGTGTTTAGATAAGATAGAGAAGATGGACAAGAAGGAGAAGTATTGTGATGAGAGTTGTCGTGATCTGTTACAAACCTTGTCGCTGTTACAATGGTGTTTGTCACTGTTTGGGACATGTTGTTGTGGTTTCAAACGTGTCTCTTAGTCCAAGTGATGAGTAAGCCATGTCAAGGCTGACGTTTGCTGACATTACACAGAATGGCTAAGGCGATGCTATCTCTGATCCCCTGTAGGGTCGTAGTCAGAATGAGTGATTCATGGCTGCTACTCCGCTCATCCATTGAGGATGTCGTGGCGGTGTTTGGCGCCAAAAGAAGATTTGTGGTCGGTGCCGAGAAACCATAACTTCCAGCAACCGGGATTGTCTTGTTCTGTCATCCAGCACATCTTGGCGGGGTTCCTTTATGGCTGGCGCCGATAAACCGTAACCCCAGATCATTGTGCCCCGGTAATGAAGGACCATGCGACTCTTGCTGATCCCGATATCTCATATCTTACTGTGACCCCGATTCGTAGGAAACTCCCCGTTGCATGGAAAATGGCTCCTCACTGCGAACTCACTGCACCCCTTCTTCCCAAAAACGAACTCCCCTTTCAGCAATCTGCGGGGGGGAAGGAAAAAAACAAGGGAAGAGGGGGCAGTGCAGGGGAGGGGGTGGACTGAGGTGACTGAGATGACGAGCATGCGACCCCCCCCGCCTTGGTCTGCCACGCGCCATCCCCGACCACTTGTCTGCGGCCGTCCCTGCCGGTCACCCGCACTTCATGTGAGGCTTGGATACCACACTGCAGCGACGCATCAACCGATTATTCTTATTATTATTATTACGACTTTTAAGACTACTATTACTATTACTAATGTTATTATTATTATCGTTATTAATATTCCGCCAGACACAGAACAAATGGAGGTGGTGACTTCATGATGCTTCACCATGATCCACTGGATGAGCTCTAGTACTTGCAATGTGGAAAAACGCATCTACTTACAGTAGTGTGACCCGAGGATGAGTCAAACGTCACAAGCATGGTCACAAACCCTAAACCATCCTAAACCCTAACATGTTCAATGCTTGCTGCTTGCGGACGAGGCGCGCGTCCAGCGGGGATGGCACGCAGCGCCACGCCGCGTTGGGCGAGGTTGATCGCCCGCGGCCCAAACACTGCTGCCGCGGTCTCTGGCCCTGGCCACAAGCTTCGAAAACACGCATCTCAAGTCTGAAGGCTTTCGAAGCCCTACATGTGCAAGTGCAAAAGGAACAGCCACAAACAAAAGCCTATCTGAGCATAGAAGAGGCACGAATGGCCCGCCTCCAGCAGCAAGAAGGCCGCGGCGCAGCGCTGCTCTGCCAGGCGCAGCTCAGCCTCATATAAGGAATTACTCAGGGTTGAGGGTTTAGGGTTTAGGGTTCAGGGTTTAGGCATCCGACACGGCATCGATTGCTGCCGTGCTCTTCGGGTCCTTGTTCAAGTTGGAATGTTTGGGGGGATCCCATGAGCTCCGCGTGCAGTTTTCAAGATCATATTACAGCATGCCAAGCTTTCGCGCTGCCCATATCCATGAAACTCCGCGTTTAGGGTTTAGGGTTTAGGGTTTAGGGATGTTTAGGGCTTAGGGTTTTTCTACATGAAGACTGGAGAAACGGGGTTCTTCAAAGTACTCCAACGAGGATGCTACTGCATGATGCGAGCCTGGCGTCGCGCTTGCAGAAGGACCTGCCACTTTGCAAGTCGAGAGACTTTGCCGAGAATAATGGCATACCTTCCTGGTCCATAATTGTCCACGAAACACGCGCACTACACAGGGTTTAGGGTTCAAACACATTAGCGGACAGGTTGCTTCAAAGTCCCACACATCGGTAGGCCAAATCTGGGGTGTCCCCTCGCGCTATTAAGACGTACCAGAGTTTGTGATATGACGTGACCATGCAGAACAGTGTTTTGAGGGTTATTATAGTGAAAGTATACAGGTAAGGGAACAATTTTAAGAATTCATGGTTGCCTCATTTTCCCTCATCTCTCTTGCAATCTCATGCCACGGCCGCACCGACACGGGACTATTTCTAGGGGCCTTAAGAATTAGAATGGGGTCTATAGGGAGAAGGGCTTAGGGTTCCGGAACAAAGGAAAGGGACCTTAACAACTAAAGTCAGAATAGCGTTTAGGGGGTTATTATGGTATATCTATACAGGGACCATAAGGGAATACCATTCGCAGTTATACCGACCCCTATATTAACCCACAGGAGCAAAGATCACTCATCTTCCGTAGCAGCTGCGGAGGCTACCTTCAAAGGAGCCCATTCGATGCGCTCAGGCGGCTCCTGTGGCCAGGGTTGCGTAGAGTGAACTGGGTATTTCCCAAAATAGGGGTACCCCGTTTATACCCCAAATAGAGTCGAATCACCTTAAAGGGACCCCCAAAAAAGGTACCCCGATTTTCGGGAAAGCCCCAAGTCTCTGCAGACTTGCTTTGAAGCTCAGCGCAAGAGGGAACCCTTCCCTGGGTGATTCGGTGGGTCACTTTTTTTGAGTGGCGTCTAGGGCCTGGAGTTTAAATGTTTCGACCCAAGGCTGAAAGATGCCGGTAGCCTGAGGTGTGCTCAGAAATGTAGGGCAGGGCCAAGGGACGTTACAGTCGTTTGCTGCACTGGTGCACTTCTTGGTACCCCAGAAACTATATTCTCATAAGGGCGCCCATTTTTGGTTGGTTCATTTATGCTAATTTATGAGGGAACCTTGAACCAAAGAAAGGGAAAAGGCTGCCACTGGGCTGCCAAGACTTTTTTCAATACAGCGCAAAACACAAAAGGACAGCATGCTGCAGCAGCACCAGTCTCAGGCTAGCAATCTTTGAGGCCCTGGATCTCAGACAACCTACCTTCGCCCTAAACCCTAAACCCTAAACCCTAAACCCTAAACCCTAAACCCTAAACCCTAAACCCTAAACCCTAAACCCTAAACCCTAAACCCTAAACCCTAAACCCTAAACCCTAAACCCTAAACCCTAACTCGAAATCCCTAAAGCCCCTGAACATGGGGTCTCCGTGAGCCCCTGGCGTCCTGGACCTGGACCTGAGCCAGGGCACCTTGGGAATGACCCCAGCTTCCCCCAGCGCACTCAAAACCCTATCGGATTTCAAAAGCCTCAGGGCCTGAGGGTTTTACGGTTTTAGGGTTTTAGGGTTTTACAGTGTTAGGGTTTTCCCTTTGTCCTCTAGAACAAGAGAGAGCAGCGAAACTGAAGCCACTAGCTCGAAGCCTTCAGCTCAAGCGGAGCTTGGGGATGTGTGAGCCCAAACCCCACATCCTAAGCGACGAAACTGAGCCGCCCCTCGGAGCACCACCCGAAAACCTTACCGGAGACACCCTAAACCCTAAACCCTAAACCCTAAACCCGAAACCCTAAATCCGAAACCCGTTCTTCCTGTGGCTCCGGCTGCTCTTCTTCTCCTCCTCCTCCTGCGATGCTGAAGGGAGCTTGGGCTGGTGATTAAGGTGGGTTTGGAGTTTAGGGTTTAAGGTTGGGATTTTGTTTTTAGGGGTTTAGGGTTGGGGGTTGCGGGGCACAAGTGGCATGAGCGTCAACACTACTCGAAACCCAAGAAAGCTCTTATCCAAACAGGATGCGTACCAAGAAGGCCCAGACGAGGTGTGACTAGGAGAAGGACATCCATGGTGCTGAGGATTCAGAGATCTTAGGCCCAACCCCCCGACCCCCCCCCCCCCCCACACCCCCTAAACCCTAAACCCTAAACTCTAAACCCTAAACCCTAAACCTGCTCTCAATGGTGACCCCGAACCTTAAGGAGATACAAACGAGATTCCCTCGCCACACTCCAGAACAAACCAACACAGGAACGATAACCCCAAACAACCACAAAACCCTAAACCCTAAACCCGAAACCCTAAACCCTACACCCTAAACCACTCCTTGTCCAAAGCAGACGTCCCCCGTGCCAGGGCCGAGTTGACCTCGGAGTTGCCGGGGGCTGGATTTGGTGGCTGGTTGCACTTGGAGTAAGCCCTAAACCCTAAACCTAAACCCTAAACCCTAAACCCTAAGGCTCAGGATCATCACGGTTTCGGCATAGGGATGACGGCTTAGGGTTTTTCTCGCCTCGGCTTCCGGCACGCGTCTGGTCTCCATCCCCCTCCAACCCTTCCCCTCAGTCAGAAACTTGCTGCACACCCACGGGGGTTCTGGGCTGTGGGCCCCTCCCACACAGACCACGTCAAAGCACAATCCTACCAAAACCCTTCTTGGGACCCCCCACCTGGGTGAAGAACGGGAATGGCAACCCCAACAAGGCCAGCGTCCACCCCCTACCCACCTGACCTCACTGTCTAGCCACCACCCATCCGGTCTTCAGACAGGGTCGTTGTTGTGGATTCCGCTCTTGGCGGAACACATCTGCATGTGCGCGGGTTGTGTGATCTCTAAACTTTCCAAAGGAAAACCTTAATTTCCGCGATATTTTCATGGGGAAACCACTCTATGTCTCTATATAGGAAAACCTCTAGTTTTTGTCTCCATATCTTGCCTTAATCGGAAAACATCGCTTGTCGATGTATGCATATGTATATATATATATATGCATATACATATAAATAAATATATATATATATATATATATACATATATACATATATACATATTTATTTATTAGTAGGAAGACCTCTATTCTGCTGGATATTTCATTAGGACAACAACCTCAAATTTCTCCATGTGTTTAAAGGAAAATCTCTATTGGGCGGGATGCAGCCAGCCATTCCTCTAACCTGGTGCCACATTGATCTGTCTCCGAGCTCAAGAATGCACTACTTGGACATTCATTAACCAATTATAACCCTATTGGGGGACTTAAGGGGCTGATTAAGTGGGGTATATGTACAGCTAGAATTGGTTCATAAGTGCCATGAACCTTCAAGTAGAGTTTAGTGAAGATGTGAGACTTTAAATGTGGAAGCGAAAAGTAGAACCAGCAGGCAAACACACACGTTAAACACCTCGAGTCTTGAACCCCAAGCCTTGAGCCCTAAATCTGAAAAACTTAGCTTCCAACCACGAATTTCTAAACCCTAACCCCAAGATCTTAAAGCGTCTAAGCTCAAACCCTGGGGAACAGAGAAAAAAACGATAGAGAAGATTAAAGCGCCTCAGCTCAAGCCCTGGAGAACAGAGAAAGAGAGAGAGAGAGAGAGAGAGAGAGAGAGAGAGGGAGGGAGGGTGGGTGGGAGGGAGGGTGGGAGGGAGGGGAGGGAGGGAGGGGAGGGAGGGAGGCGTGAGACACCAAGGCCCGTTTGAGGCTCCCAGCATCAAGCATCTCGTTCCCTGTCGTGTTGAAGTCCTGTCTTCGAAATTCGACATCCGTCGACCGTTAGGTTTATGGTTTTTCGGGGTTTAGGGGTTTAGGGTACAGTCTGCCGCTTTTCCTCCAGAGTGTAGTTGAAGGAAGAACCAGAAGAACGGTTCAAGCATCCCAAGCAGAGGGTTCAGGGCTGAGCATGCTGGGGCTTAGGATGTGGGCAAGAAGGGATCAGAATTGAGAGTTGAGGTTTGAAGGCTTAGTGCCTTCATAGGCCTTAAAACCCGTGCTTCTGGAAGAGACCTTGCGTTTTTCCTGATAAGGAGCCCTACAGAGTTTCACAGTTCAAGCCATTTATCTAAATCACGCTCTTTGGGTTAACGGTGCCCTCAAGTCTAGACCTCCTTTTTTCGGTATGAAAGCCTTCACCCCTACAACCTAGACCCTAAACCCTAAACCCTAAACCCTAAACCCTCAACCCTTCCCTGGCAACCTCCGGGGCCGATGCCATGTTGGTGCAGGGCGCGCTGGCACCTACACTGCAGATGAAGCCCTCATGAAGTCAAACAAGCTCAACCCAGACATCACTCTGAAACCGCGCGAAATCGGTGCCTGTGAGGGAGCTGGGCTGGCTGGCAGCTGTCTCCTGGACGGGTTAGGGTTTAGGGTTTAGGGTTTAGGGCGCCTTGGAACAGGGCATCTTTGAGGCGACTTTCGACTCGCATCAGCGATGGACAGCTCCGGGCTTGTAAAATTGACCTGTGAAACCGCAGCGGGCGTGTTTTGTGCTTCGACTCCGTAGACCTGGACATACCGCTCTTCTTCTCCTTCTCCTGAAGACTCCTTCTTCTTCTTGTGCTCTCTCTCTCTCTCTCAATAGATTCTTTCAGGAGGCGAGGTGTCCAGTACGTAAGCCATACAGTCCTACCCTCGAATCCCCGGTTCCCCGAACCCCATCAGACCTAACTACATTCCCCCGAGCAAACCGTGATGCCATCAAATCCTCCACAAGCACCAACTTAGTTGCTGAGTTCATAAGCCCCCAAAAAAGTGTACACTTTCGGGATTATAGTATCCCGAAAAGTGTAAAGTGTACTGCTACTAAGCAAATCTAGCAGCCTGCCTTGAGGTCTGCCTCATTGGCGCCCGGGCTCTCCTCCGGGTGTAGCTTTCTTGCGTAAAATTCAGAGCATTAATTATGGGCTTTGGGGTTCGTTTAAGGGTGTGTAGGGTTTTAGTTCAGGGCTTGGGGCTTGCATAGGGTCTAGGTTTAGAAATTAGTCGGGCGAGGGGGGTGGAATTTAGCCTAGTTCTTCACTCTCATTCTCTACTTCTCTACTTTTCGAATTACAAGAATAATAGAGACAAGAAACAAAAAAAGAAACGAGGGGGTGGAATTTAGACGAGTTCTCTATTCTCATTCTCTACTTCTTTACTTTTCGAATTACAAGAAATAAAACAAGAACCGAGGGGGCGTGGAAATAACAACAATTCTACACCCCTCTGATTCTGAGCCCAGATTCAAACCTGGGTTCGAACCCCGGTTGCTTGTTGCTACCAGGGCCAGGGTTCGGGATGGGCGTTGAGGCGTATAAGATTACAGTCGCTGGCAACCCCGAGCTCTTCTTATAGCTCGAAAAGCCTCCCAAACAGAAGCAGAACCAGACGCCCTAAGCCCCGAACCGCGAAGGAACCATTATGCTACATCCTGAGCTCGAAAACGCTGGTAAAGCCCCCAAAGCCTGAGCCCCTAAACCTTGAATATGAGCCCTAAACCTCAAGCCCTACATCTTTAACCTCAACCTGAAAAGCCTAAACCCTAAACCCTAAACCCTAAAAACTAAAAAACCCGAAATCCTAAACCCTAAACCCTACACCCTACACCCTAAACCCTAAACCTCAATCCCTGAACCTAAACCCCATGGGGCAGCTCCTGAGTCTCGGCGATGCTGGAGGATGCAGCCTCTGGTTTGGGGTTTAGGGTTTAGGGTTCAGGGTTTAGGGTTTAGGGTTCAGGGGTTAGGGTTTAGGGTTTAGGGTTTAGGGGGTTTAGGGGGTTTAGGGTTTAGGGTTTAGGGTTTAAGGGTTTAGGGTTTAGGGTGGGGGGAGGATGCAGGCGGGGGGGGGCCCTCCGGGCCCCCCCCACCGCGGTGTGATTCCAAGCTTTGTGACTGGGTATGTTGGGGCTTTGGGATTTCGAGTAGGGCTCAGGGATGCTTGGGGTTTTGGGTGCTTTGAGTGACATAGGGCCCCCCCAAACAAATTAAAAGGCACCATGTCGCCTCACCCAAACCCAGAGCTTCTGAACTTTGGGGTTTGGGTTTAGGGTACGTTTTATGTTGCCGGGGTCGTCGTTGTAGCTTTCAGGCTTGCGAGCTGCGTTCTTGAGGATATAGGGGTTCTAGACACTGTGGGATTCAGGGCATTGGGCTTAGAGCCCCACATGAAGAATTCGGGCGCGCTCGCGTCCTAGCTGCAAGTGCAAGACCCTGAAGTGAGCGCCCGCCTGGTACCCAAGGTCCGATTTCCTGGTCCAGGTGGTTTTGGGGTACTATCGGCCTGAATATTAGAATAGGGTAAACCCTAAACCTAAACCCTAAACCCTAAACCCTAAACCCTATAGTTATAAAGGGACCCTAAGGGAAGACTATTAGTAACTATTGCGACCCCTATATTACACGGGGGCCCCAGCTCCTGACTTTGAGCCGAGTCTACAGTTCTCAGTGTTTAGGGTTTAGGGTTTAGGGTTTAGGGTTTAGGGCCAGTTCCTCGTTCGACAAAAGGACTCGATGAGTCCTAGGGGAGCAAACCCAGCAAACCCTAAACCCGAAACTCTCAAAACCCCAGACTCCCAAGTCAGCCTTCGCTCGCACATCGCCTTGTGTTCGGCGCGCTTGTTGTCCTTTGCCGGAGGCTTTCAGGGTTTAGGGAAATGGGCTAACCCTGAATCCTGAAGCCGCAAAGACCCTGAACCCCAAAACCCCTAAACCCCTAAACCCTAAACCCTAAACCCTAAACCCTGAACCCTAAACCCTAAGCCCGCGAAGCCCAGGAGCTGAGGAGCAAGGTGGGGATCACGAAAGACTTCGGAAGATGCAATTTTGAGGCCACCATTCAATAGCACAATCTCAGGTTCTACCACAAGAAGTGTGGTTCTCCCAACCTTTGGGACTTCATTCTGTCCTGGGAGCCACCAAGCAGCACGGGCAGCGCGCCCTTGGCATCCTCCTGCGCAAGAATGGCGGTTTTAGGGTTTAGGGTTTGGGGTTTGGGGTTTAAGGTTCAAGGTTTACGGCTTAGGGTTGAGGATTTAGGGTTAGGGTTTAGGGTTTAGGTTCATTCATACATCGGAGGAGACCCTGAAAAGTTGCTCTGGTCATGCTGGAGTCGTGCAGCAACAGCTCAAGACCGCACATCTGCGGCACGTTTCTGTGAAGCTGTACTGCGGCATCGGCGGGTGCTTCCATATCCATCTGAGCATGGGGCGGTGAAGAGAAAGGCTGCGCCAAGCGACCTGAGCTAAATACAAGAAACCCTGCACCCTAAACCCTAAATCCTAAAACCTAACCCCAAAGCAAAAGGCAAACCTTGCACAACTGCTATGGAGACTCGGGCTGATTCCCAGCACCCAGCCCCAAATCCCTGAATCCGGAGCCTGCGTTTCGACCCAGGGAGCCCAAGACCCCTACTTAGTTGCTGAGTTCACAAGCCCCCAAACAGTCTACACTTTCAGTTCTATAGGGGGTTGTAGTATCCCAAAAAGTGCAAAGTGCACTCACTCCGCAACTAAGCCTCATATAGGGGTCCTAAGAGGTCGAGACCCAGAGGGATGGAAAAGGGTACCCTTTTGGTTTAACGGGGTTTATAAGGGCCCTAAACCCTAACAGAAGGAACAAGGGCCTACTCTGGTCCTAGTAGCCCTAAACCCTAAAACCCAAATAAACTCTACCTAGGGATCCTAAGAAGGAATTTCTCGTCATTAAGGGGTCATTGAGCTCTTTGGTGAGCTTCTCCGAAGCCTTCAGCCTCTAGACAACAAACCGAGGGTGGGTTTGGGGGCCCGACAAAAAGATGAGTTTCTAAGATAGGGGTTTATAAGATCGGGATTTAGGTGTTTAGGGTTTAGGGTTCAAGGTTTCGGGCTTTTAGGGTTTAGGGTTTTAGGGGTTTGGCCTTAACCACTGGAAGAGGATTCTGGGGGGCTATTCTTGTCCAAAAAAGATGATTCGTATTTCACCCCCAAAGGTATGAGGTTAAATCAGGCTATATTTTGGGGACTAGGGCCCATAGAGCTTAGAACAGTTCTTAAAACCTACCCCAGCAACACCGTCCGCAAGTACACGATCGACGAGCTGTCATGGAGACGAAAGCCCCTGCGTCTGGGGGCTCAACTTTGCGAATTCGGGATTGATGGGGGCTCAGGGTTCCTAAGGGCCCGGGGCCCGGCTTGGGTGCGCGAGATGCAGTAAAAAGTGTGCTCGAGATGCACAACTTCTCACCACCCCTGCATGTCGCCCACCCTGAGGGAGCTTTAGGGTTTAGGGTTTAGGGTTTAGGGTTTCGGGTTTAGGGTTTAGGGGACAAGTTTCTCGTGCCACCACTCCAGGATTGCCCATTAGGGCCCCGGTTCTGTGTCCCGAGTCGTGGAAACCAAAAGCGCCCAATACCTCTCAATTAAGGAAAATACCGTAAATCATACCAACTATCCCTATAGAGTTTAATTGACACCTTGTCCAAGCAAACTTGTCCCCTAAACCCTAAACCCTAAACCCTACACCCTAAACCCTAAACCCTAAACCCTAAATCGAACCCTAAACCCTAAACCCTACACCCTAAACCTGAAACCCTGATCGGAGCTCAGCTGCCGGCCAGCTTGTCATGATCAGCACAAGATTGTGAACCTGAAAGCCCAGCGGGAGGGTTGGGGAGCGAAAACGACAACTTGCACTCGCTGGGTTTAGGGTTTAGGGTTTAGGGTTTAGGGTTTAGGGTTCTAATTATTCAGCAGCATCTCGAACCTCCATGTGATATGCTCACTCTGGAAGGTCCACACTGGTAACGGTTAAGTGCGACGTGCCGCAGCTGCCGACGTACCCTGCTGAGCCCCTCCCCCAAGCATCAACCCCTCCTCCCCAAAGCAAAACAAAGGAAAGCAGAACACGCCAGCCTCCTCTCTTCTCCTCTGCCTGTGCGGTTCAAGCAGGTGGTACAGAGCACGCGCGTGCCACAGCTTGTGGCATCGTTTTCCCCTGCCGCCTCTTTGGCTCACTCCATACTGAGAGAGAAGGCACACCGGTTGACAAAAGACACTTGCTTTACATGGGGATACGGCCGGGGGCTAGCAGAATTGTAGCCACCATCACAGTACTCTTCATCAGGAGCAAGAATTTCAGGTGTGGGCTGCTGGGCGGGGACTCTGAACAGGTTGTCGAACCTAAACCGGCTCTAAGACAAAGGAAGATCGGTTCACAAATCCATTCCGCTGGATTCTTTCAAGCATGTATCATATTCAACAGTTAAAATTCTATTCCTTATGGTGTTTAAGTACCCTGAAAAATGTACATGTTACCCCACTATTTTCAAGGAAATGCATGCTTAGCAAATCCCTTTCTTTGGACCCTTTGGAACTCAAGACTTAGGGTTTCGGTTCAGGACCTACTGGGGCAACATCTCTCCAGGGGTATTGGGTTAGGGTTCAATGAGCTTGGAAGGACTACATGCTTCTTGCTCAAACATACCTAAACCCTAAACCCTAAACCCTAAACCCTAAACCCTAAACCCTAAACCCCACAGCCCTCCGCACCTGGAGTTG